TGGTAGAGAACAGGTAGGGGTCCAGCCTGAACAACTTTGGATTTGTAACAGAACAATACTCCAATAATCCCCCGCCCGTCGTGACTGAATGCGCTCATCTGTATGTGCCTTCCTGGCCTCCACTCGGCAACACCCGAGGCAATTCATTCAATTAATGCGCTTCACAAGTTACTGCGTAATAGCCTTTGGTTAAGGGTACTTGGGTCTACTGCGTATTTCCGTCGATTTACGGGCTTGTATTTGTTGTCGGTTTATGTCGAGTGTGGCGCTCGATTTTTCCCCGCTTTTTGAGCGATGTGAACCATCGTGGCTCATCTGTTTGATCCTGCAGCAAGCCTGCAGCGCATTTAGGAGTCGGTTGCATCTACTGTGGTAGATACGACTTACTATCCCCCGCTTGGGATAGTTGCAGGTGTCCACTTCCCGCTGCCCTGAAGGCCTACAACGTTGCCTCGAGGGACGGTGCTGCAGTGCTGTATTCTTTTTGTTATCTTGTAGCCAACATGCTACTCGTGTTTCGGTTTCGCTGCCATCTTTCCACTTTTGAAAGCCAAGCAGGTCTCAGAGAATGAATTTCGTCAGCAAACATTTGGGCGCCTGCATACACAGAACAATCAACATCTCTGCAGCCTCAGTGGAATGCGCCTTACTTCTTCGCTTTCAATGCCCTGTGGGATTCCGAGGAACCCCCAAAAAAGCTGGTGTTGTTAATGGAATACCTGGATTACAGAACTGCCCGTTGTCGCGTACAACCCGTCCTCCGTCGAACGCGACAGCAGCAACTAAGACCAAATACAACTTTCAAGCTGACGGGATATGGCTTAAAACTACTAAAATACGTTGGGCATGCGGCTACCTGTACACGCATTGCACACATCAAACATTACAAGCAGGTGCTTGCATTTTCCATATAGATGCAGGCAAGCGTATTTGCACAACAGCATCTAGCTAAACCTACGAGCATCTCCACACATGTACACAGATGCGGGCGCGCACACATAAACAACAAATCACACACACACACACACACACACACACACACACACACACACACATACACACACACACACACACACACACAAACCAGCAAATACACAACTCATGCAAAAGCAGACGTCGGATAGCACATCCGCTTGAGCATTCCCACACTTGAGCCTCGGCTCATGCATGAACACACATATGCAAATATGTGTATGAACATAGCGGCACATAAGAATACATATAAATGCACATGTGCCATGCGTACGTCTGCAAGCTCTGAATTTGCATGAGAATGTGCGTGCTTATCAATATCCGCTTGTGTAAGCAAATATGCAAGGCCTGTGCCTGCAGCAGGTCCCAATCTGCACTCCGATTCCAGCGACATGTAGCCCTCCCGTGCTGCAATTCATGCTGAAAGCTCACTGCAAATCGGAACGCCGAACGAAGTGTCTCGGCTGACAAAGCGATGACAGGGAATAAACATTTCGAGGTACTCAGAAATGCAGAGCCCATTTGATGCTGATGCAAGCGTTCTAGAGCATACATTAGCTCTGCCAATGCATTGTTTTGAAGCCTAACGAGCGGAGTGGCCACACCTGCTTGGGGTCGATTGGAGTCCCCAAGCCCATGCCAGTGACGGGCAACGCGCCGATCATGCTGGGTCACTTAATAAACTATTAAAATTTTGAACCCCCACTTCTGGTATGTGAAATTATACCCTTCACTGCTTGCTATTTGCATATTGCTTTCCATCATCCGCTATTTTCGCAATTCCGTTGCGTGACGGTACGAGTTCTCCGCATGGTTTCTTTCGTTTCTTCGAATACACAATTCATAAAGTTTATTTCCTTACCCTTTCTCGAGGCGCTTTTGACGTTTCCGCCCATTAGGTGCTGTCCCACCTGCCAGCTCGTCGGTGGCAGTGGTCTCATGCCAGTGGACCTGCCGGTCTCGCTTTTCCCCTCAAGTTCCTCTGGCTCTCACCAACTTCACCAAACAGCCTATGGGGTTTCACATTTGTAAGCGAAAACTAAATTTATACAAAACCGTAATTGCCCTAAGCGAAGCATCAGGGTTTCCCTCTTCCCCTGGGATGTCTTCCACCGCTAAGTGAACCAGGGAAGGGGACTGGGGGGTAGCGGGAATTGCAGGCGCTTGCAGACAGTCTGAGCGTCTCAAAAGTGAATTTATAGCATGTTAAGACATGCTTAGATGATCATATTCAAATTCGCGTACGTGACTGTATGTCTGCAGCGGTGCGTCCCCCCTTCTCAGCAGTGAGCACCGCTCACGGGTTTGCATTGGAGGCGTACACCTTTGTATGCAGCTGAATAAAACGAAAAGGTCACAAAGCCCTGATGCAGAAGCAGCTGCTGCCTGGAATGCGTGCAGTATCCACCGGCTGAGAATGGTTGTCGCCAACCACTGCCGTGTCCAGAAGCAGACAGTTGGGCTGCGTAGGTTACTAGGGCATATGATGCTCTTTGCTCCAGCAGCAGCAACGGCCACCCTCTTAACTGGAGCGCTGGAGGCGGCCAATCCTTCTTCAAGCCAGGAAGATGCATCATCAATTGCGGCGCCCCATGGCGACACTCTGCCTCTCCACCCGTACACCACCTTGAATCTGGTTTTGGGCCAGTCTTTGGGGGCCTTCGAGTCCGCGATAGTGGGAAAACAGCAGAAGCACCCTCAGATGTCTCAGCGTTTGGTAGTGAGTGCTGGCTTGGTGGCGGTTGCGTTGGCACTGGCCTTTCTCGTGTTGCAGTGCACACGAACGGCTCGGTTCCCAAGGTTATTTAGTTCTGTGACTAAACGGGCTCTTTCCGACTCAGACTTAGAGGATCAGCGGGTGGATACCTGCGTCGGCGAGCAGCGTGAGGCAGGTGGGGACGGCGCACGATATGCAGGGGAAGGAAAAGAGGGAAACACTTCAGAGGAAGCGGGAGAATTAGCGGCTCTGCAAACATTGGAAGACTTGCGATGCATCGTTACTCTTGGGGTACAAACCGTGCCGTACCTACCGTTTGACAGAAATGCCTTTCTGGTTGCCTTGGTGGTGACGATTTGCACACAGGAGTTGGTTTTGTATGGGATATACTCGACTCCCCAAGTAGAGGTGGAGCGGCAGAAGACAATGGATTTCATTCTGGAGGAGGCACGACTGGCTTTGGCACAATTAGATGCCGGTGGCCAGTTATCCGACGCTGCAGTGCGAGCGGAGAGGATTTTAGAGCTCTTGGAAGAATTTAGAACACCAAGACCGGAGCAGAACGCTTTGGAGCTGGCTGTGGAGGCAAGCATCTCCGCGTGTAGAGTTTTGCCGTGTAAGGAGGCCCTACTACAGCTACAACCTTGGGTCAAGAACTCCACTCCGATCCCTGAAGAGGTAGACAAACGGTTCCGGAGAGTGCTAACGTACACGCGTCTAGCTGGAAAAGGAAGACTCAAAGCAGATGCCAAAGCATATTCGTGGGTGATGATGGCGCAAACACAGGTTGGTTTCAATGTTCTCTTCGAATCACATCCCGAAGATAAATTCTTCATTCACCGTCTGTCGTTCGAAACTGAGATGAGAAAACGTAGGCCACGTTACAAAAAGTTAGCAAGGCTACTCGCAAGCAGCGTCGAGTTCGCCTTGAGCCAGAAACCAATGGAAAGGCACCTGAAGGAACAGCACCAGCAGGAGCAACGACGACGGGAGGAACTGCAACAGTTGCAGCCGCGACAGCACCATTGGACCAACCAGGTTGCTGCGAGCATTTCTAGGCCTGGCTTCGTCCGCCAACCGGTTATGCAGCCGGTCACTCTAAGAACTCGTGTGGGAGTACAGCCATTCTACCCCTCGCGGCCCCTTCTTGCACCTTCCCACGGAACTGTGACGACAGAAACATCGTCTTTGACAGACTCACCTCTGTTCCAAACAGCTCAGCTACCTTCGAATGACTCGGACGAACATCTCCCGACAGCTCGCCGTGAGCATGGGCGTCACTCCTCTACCCCGTCCGCTCCAAGGTGGGGCAAGACGCAGCGAGAAACGAAGGACCAACAGCAATCGTCGCACGCGTATTTCACAGCAAAGGGTGTTCTTCGAGCAGAGGCACCCGTGTTTACACCGAGAGAGCCAGTGCAGGCGTACGCGCAGGAGCATGCACCCCCTACTGCTTCTGGTGCCAGGAATCTTAGGCGGCTAGTCCCACCATCCCCTGCCTTAGCGCCCCTTTGGCTTCCCGTTGATCCTTCTACCACTCTGCAGAGCGGTTTCCCCTTGGCTCATGAATCACATATGCCTACTCAGAGTCACGTTAGTTATCCCGAAATGATCCCCCCAGTAACTACGATTGCACCTCACAGCCGTGCGCCGCACCACCGTACTCCTTGGGCCCCACAACCACTGCGTGGACAGTCGTTTACCGTCCGGCAGCCTTTTCAGCCTAGTGAACGGCCATCCGGCCGATTTCTCAGACCGGCCCTCCAGAGTCCAACTTCAGCAACTCCACTGCGAGCTTCGACACCACCCAATCAATTATCTGCAGCTTGGGGGCATATACCTGTCTCGCGGTTTGAGGCTCCTACAGCGTTTTGGCCACCTCAGGGAGGGGAAACCCAGGGAAGCATTTTCTCAGACTCTTCAGAAGAGACGGCGAGCCTTAACCCTCTCTTGGATCTGATTGCTGAAGCATTTCCGACAACAGAAACACCTGTGTCTGGGGAGACTGAGCAAAGACGGTACAGGCCCAAGGATTCTCCACGAGCCCCTCCTCCGCACGCACCTCTTTCTGGAGGAAGCTGGAAGATTTTTGCGAAAGTTCTACAAGACATACCAGTACCCAGAAGGAGCCAGGGAGCCTCTCCAGCCCCTGAAGAAACACCGCAGACAAGTGAGAGTGCAACATGGAGTCTTCACGAGTAGAGGGGATGGCAAAATGCAATTATCCAGTCGTGTAGCTTGATCAGCAACGTTGGAATGCATTAAAAGGCTGTTCGCGTTCTACCTGCGTGGCCTATTATCGTTCACAGTATGCGTTCTATAGAAGGTTCAGCCACAGGTTGGTAGGCTTACGTGATAGGCACGTTCAGGTGTGCTCCTGGAAGAATCGTGTGCTATTTTTTATTAGCTTGCATGTCGTGCATCGAGACTGCGCAGTAGATCTAAACGAAGACGAAAAGAACAATTTGGACCTTCGACTTGGATATGGTAGAGATCTGGTGCTGCTGTCACCCTGTTTTGTAATGGATTTGTAATATAAACATATCTTTCCTCCCGTGTGTCTGAGCACACGCAGGTGCATGTGCCTTCCTAGCCTCCGCTCTGCAACACCCTATGCAACTCTGGAGTCAAGCCACTTCACAAGCTGCTGTATACTAACATTTTATTGACGCAAATGGTGCCTCCGGTGTGCTTGTGCCTATTTTCGGGCTTGTAATTGTTGTGCGCTTGGGTCTAGTGTATCCTTCGATTTCCTCACCGCCTCTGAAAGATGCGTATCGTCGGTGGACATTTTTTTATCATGCAGCATCTCAGCAGTGCATATGCAACTTGGCAACCTCTGGTGTACCCCTATAGTAGAGTGCCTTTGGTCTTTGGACTAGGTGCGAGTTGCAAAAGAGCACTTCCAACCCTTGAGGCCTACAGTGTGGCCTCAACGAAAGGAGCTGCAGACCTGTAGTAGTCCTCCTTGGTTCGTATTGCTCGATTTAGCTGACTTCGTTCCATTTGAAACTCGATTTACTTTCGCACAATCATCTCTCCGACGCAGACACTCGCGCACTTGCAGACCCATCACAATCAAGGCAACTGCTCCTCATGGGGATGTTCGCTGCTTCTTCGCTTTTGATACCCTGCACGGTTATTCAGGGACAGCAAGCCAGCTAATGTTACGATTGGAGAGGCTAAATGCCATAGATGCTCGTTGGCGCATACAAACGCTCGACCATCGAATGCGGCAGCAGATACCAAAATCAAAGAGCTTGTTTTACCTGTGGCATGCGACTTAGTAAATTACGTTCCGCGTGCGTGCCCGTATATAAGCATGGCACGCACACGAGCATCTACAGGCAGATGTATGTTTCTCGCACTTGGGCATTCGCATGGCCAGTTATACGCATACGCCTAAAGCTAAATGCACACCCGTACAGCCATGATTACAAGCACGCACAATGTAGTACAAAAGCATCCATACGCATACATTCACAAGTACTCCCATACGAGGGCCTTTACTCATACATGAGCATAAATATACAAATATGGATGAATGTGCACATGCCAAAACATATACTTGTGCGTATGAGTGTACATGTATGCATGCGTGCTTTGTGTGAGAATGTCCATGCTTACGAGTATACGCTCTTGTGAACGAACATGCACCCGCATGCACGCGCACACGCAGGTATACTTTATACACCTGCATACAGACAAACATAAAACAAAAGCCTGAATGAATTTGCAAGTACGCATGAACACACAGTATACATCCACATGTATGTGTAGAGACGTATACATATATATCTACGTACAACGTTGGCTCACACATTTGTGCATGCACATATTAGATACAATGGGTTACGTGGCTGCAAGCATGGACCACCACACAAGCAAACACTGTTCTAAACACACATTCCCAAAAAAAAGAAAAAAAAAAAAAAAAAAAAAAAAAAAAAAAAAAAAAAAA